TATGTGTGTGTGTGTCTGTGTGTGTGTGTGTGTGTGTATTTGTGTTTGACGTAAATTTGTGTGAGAGTGTTTGTGTATGTATGTGTGTGTGTATGTGTGTACGTGTATGTGTAGGAGTGTGTGCACGTTATTGTTTTTGTGCAAGTGTGTGCTGTACACGTCGTGTGCGCTCGCGTGTATATACGTAAGTGCATGTGTGCCTATATTTGTGTTTATGTGTATGAGTATTTACGTGTGTATGTGTGTATGTAATTTGTGTATGTGTTGCGCGTGTAAATTTATGTGGGTGGGTGTGATGTATGTGCAGGTACGTATACATGTATGTGGGTGGGGCTGTGGGGTGTGGTTGGGCGTTTGGTTGAATGTGCTTGTGTGCCTGTGTTTATGTGTGTGGTGCATGAATATAAATTTCAGTACAGTACTTACTAGGAAACAGAAACCCTTCTAGCGCTAGGCGCACCAGTACAATAACCACCACCAGGTATAGTGCTGGGGCCAAGTGGTGTGGTTTGGCGTACTTTTCACTTGCAAGGTGTTCCCAGTGCACTCCTGGTGGTAACCAGATCCACTCGGACCATGTGGGATTCCAGTGTTCTTGGTAGTATTCGAATGTCCGCGGGATTGACTGAAACTCTGATAATTCCTCCATCTTTGCGTTATAGTTGTATTAGCCGATACGTAAGACTGGGCACCGGTTGCTAATGCACTTCCATCAATATAGAAAGAAATTGCCAGAGTATCCTTACCGCTCAGCCGCTCAGCCGCTCAGCCGAACAGGTCCCCTGTATTCGAAATTTCGAATCGGCATTTAATATTAAAAAAAATTCCCCCCGAAATAGCCGCTGATATGAGATGTTTGTTGTCATCATATTTTATGAATCGTGACACTTCCCGAAGTTACCGCTTTGTAATACACGACAAAGCGATACACCGTTTCACTGGTAAACGGCATTTCCTTGAATCAACTTCCCGGCTTCGCCGTATGTTCAGTTTACGACATTCTATTCTAGGTCGAAAATTGGGCGGGTTTATTCACAAAAAAAAATGAAAACTATTTTATGCTCTGTCGTTAGCGGCTACTAGAGACTCGTTGCAGCGTTGCTTCTCCCCTGCTGCTGTGTGTGTCACTCTCCAAGACTCAAGACTCAAGTTCTCTCAACTCTCAACTCTCAACTCTCAACTCTCAAGTCCCAGCACTGAAGACAGGAAAATGAGTGACAACCACACTGAAAGTCGGAAACACAGTCCACACTCACACTCCACACTCCTCACTCCACACTCCACTCCCCAGTCCCCACCCGCCAGTCCCCACACTCCACAGAGTCCACACTCCACACTCTCACTCCACAGTTCACACGTACATACTACATGCCACACCAGGCCTGTATTTATGACTTTATGAGTGCATGACTGTATGTGAGCATACCACATACACACACCACATGATGACATTCCTTTTGCACTCCGCGCCGCGGCCCGCGTTGATATGGCGAATTTGCAATTTTTAATTACGTTTTGTAAATGTAGTATTTAAAACGTGTAGGTCAGGTCCTATATGTTTGATGCGGGTGCAATACTTGGGTGCCTCCGAGCCCTGAGGGCTGAGGTGCAGTATATATGAGCTATTTCACGATATATCCCTACTGTCGTCCATATGAGGTCAGACCCTTTCTATCCTACTTATACGTTAAATCGTTAAAAACGTTTTCGCTAAACGTATACTCTAAAGTCTGAACTACAATAACGTAATGAGGTTTTGAGGTTATAGTTGCGAAGTCCGGTGAAATAATAAGAAACTTAACTCCCGGAGCCCCGCCCCATCTCGATCCACAGATGTATTCACACAAGAGAGAGCCAATAATAGGCATCTCTCTGGAATCTGGATGTTTGTTCAATAACTTCACGACTTCACATGCACATACCACACAACAAGCTAAATAATACTGGCAGTCTGAGAGCCCGGTGACAGGTGTGCCACAACATAGCCTTCAAAGATGACAGTCACAAGTGTTATCCACAGTACTCTAGTAGTAAAGACTAAAGATACTATAAGCTTTTTTTTTATTCCTTTTTGATGGCCCATAGTTTGCATGGGTCTATTATCCATTCCCTGCTGGCTTTATTCCTAAAATCCTTTACACTTGTTCAAACATACTATGTGCTACTACTAGCTACTCTAGCTAGTAGGATTGCTACAAGCGAGTACTCTGCGTTAATCCTCCTACAAAGTCGTCCAAGCGTGGTGTATAGAATATGTGTCAGTGAACAACGAGTCCAGAATGAAAGGTAGCCGACGCACAGTGTGTGCGTGTGTATACACGTATGTTGATTATAGATATATATATATATATATATATGTATCATTATATATGTATCATATATA